GTAGTGAGGTTGGCCCAGGATTGGACATTGTTTCGTTCTGCTGTGCATGGGGTTGCTATGAGTCGGTTCCGAATCAATGGTACTTGACAACAACAACAAAGAGACTAAGACTAATGCATTACTGAGAGAATGTGTCTGCAACCATCCACCGATTGCAAAGAAAGGTTAAACATTTTCTTTGGAATAAACTCATGCATCTATTAAATGGAACCCTAGAACATTATATTAAGTAAAATAAATCAATCACAAGTGACAAGTATCATATGAGACGACTACTATAAAAAGTCAAGAAAAGGTTAACACACATAGAGACAATGATTATTTGAAGGTTACTATGAATGGGGAGGTTGTTGTTGTTAAGTGCCATCGAGTTGGATGCGACTGAGAGCGACCCTGTATAGGGTTTCCAAGGAGTCGCTGTTAAGTTTGAACTACCGACCTCATGGTTTAAACCAACCTTGTGGTCCAGTGCTTTATCCCACAGCACACACCACGGTTCCATGAGTGGGAAAGTAACGGAACTGGCTAGAGGGTAGACACATTAAGTTAGGTGGAGGGGAAGGCAATATCCAATAAAAAATGATGGAGGTAGAAAACAGCACAAAAGTTAAAGGCAACATAAGTAAATACTGTTGTACACACAACTCTATAGGAACAAAGACTTACAAGTAGATGCATGGATAGACATACAGAGTCCTGGTGTAGCACTGTAGGATAAGTACCAACCTGCTAACTGTAGGTTGGCACCTCAATACCTACCAGCTGCTCCTTGGAAACCCTATACAGAGTGGCTACGATGCTGTCAAGTCAGTGCCAACTCATAGCAACCCTGTATAGGGTATTCAAGGAGCAGCTGATAGGTTTGAACTGCTAACCTTGCAGTTAGCAATGCAGTACTTATCCTAGAGCACCACACCAGGACTCCAAATACATATATACACAACATGTTGTTGTTGATAAGTGCCCTTGCGTCAGTTCTAACTCATAGCAACCGTGTATAGGGTTTCCAAGGAGCAGCTGGTGGATTTGAATTGCCGACCTTGTGGTTCGCAGCCCAGTGCTGATCCTACAGCACCACATCAGGAGCCCATATACAATA